TTATAACTCATTAAAATTATAATTTATTAAAATTATAAGTTATTAAAATTATTTCTTTATAAAAGTATAAATTCTTAACATTATAAATTATTAATATTATTAATTTTTATAATTATAAATTATTTTATATACAAATTTATATAATTAATAAAATAGTTTTTACATTAAAAAAATAATAAAAATAGGCTGCTCGGAATTCGATTTCCGAGAACCGAATTCCGACCGCTACAGTACAGAGGTTTAAGTCAGTAAATATATAGATGGGAAGTTCATGTTAGAAATTTTTTTAAAAAAAATATTATTAAAGTTAAAAATTCCTAATATCAAATCATTTAAACAATATCCTTAAAGATAGCCAGACTCTACTTTCCTCTCAAAATTAGATTAGTCTAATGTAAAAGCGATTTTTTTATTACATAAATAATAAATTATTTTATAATTAAATTTATACTTCTTCTAAGTTTATATATAAATAAATAAAATGTTCAAAATCCTTTTTATAATATAAATAAATTTTAATCAAGTCAATAATTTCATTCAATGTACGATATTTAAAAATATACTTAAGATAATAAATGAGAGCACGATTTACTATAAATAATTTAAAATATTTTTAAAAATATAGTATATATTTTATCTGAATTGTAAAAATTAAATGTATTTAAAAAAAAATTTCAAGAATATTTAATTAACTTCCTTAATACATATGAAATTAATTTTTTTCCTATGAATATAGAGAGAGTACCATAATTTTATGTACCAAAAAAAGGTTTGCGCGTACCATAAATATTTACTATAATTTTAAGTTGATTTACGCCATGCAGTTTTATTTCAATGCAGAGGATCCAAATTCTATAAACTTGACAAGGTTTGATAAAAAAAAATCTTCTAGGGCTGATAGTCGATACTATAATGTATCAATGAGGTCGAGGTGGAGGGTATGTATAATTTTATTTAAATAAAAATAATGTAAAAAATTAAGAAAACGTGCCCAATGTAATACACATGTTGTAATAATTATGATACAGAGATAATTGCCTCAATTTCAATATTTGTGTATATATATTAACAATTTTATTCAAAAGGAAATCACGGTTATTCAAAGAGATAGTGTATGAGAATGATAAATAAAAATATTGATAAATATTGAAATTATGTTTCGTACTATAATTTATTTTGCAAAAATTATTATAAATTAGGTCTCGTAGTTCTTTTGCATCTTTATATGTGATATCTATCAGTGAGATACTATTTTTAAAAATTTTCATAATCTCTATCATGTCATACAAAATAGGTAACATTCTAAAAAATTAATAATAGAAACTAAAATAAGGTATAAATATAAAGATTAAAAAAATATCTTAAACAACATACATGACTAAAATTGATTAAAAAAATAAATATAAAAATAAAAAAATTATTTTAAATTATAAAAACTAAAAAATATAATAAATAAAAATATAAAGATTAAAAGTATTTTAACCTTAAAAAAAAATGAAAGAGAAGATATTTGTATGAACAGTAGGAAGTTCGTATTAATTTTTTTTTGTTACATGAGAAGTTTTCTAACAATTGTTATGTAATGGAATCTTCCCATCTTAACTGTGGCATGGGCGTTACATAGCTAGGTTAGTGAATGAGAAGGTAGATAAAGTGATTATGAGAATTCAACTTACATCTTTATGTTTTTAACTATTTTAACTCTTTCTCACTTAATTATTATGTTAATTCTAATCATAGTTTTAAAAACCGGACCGGTCATCGAATCGGTTAAGGTACTGAGTCAGTGGGTCAAAGGTTGAACCGGTGGGTCACTTAGTTGAACCGCATGACTCGATTTTTATTAAAAAATATTTATATTAAATATATTTTATACTTATAAATTTTAATAAATTCATATCTTATTTTAAATTTCAATTTTCCTATCTTATTTAAAATTATTTTTATTTTTATTTTGTAAAAAAATACATAAAAAAATTACATGTTAAACGGTATATTAATACAAATTAAAAATATAAATAATATGTACATATATAATATGCTTGCAATTAATATCACAAAATAATATATGTAATATTTACATAGATATTGCATTATTAAATATATAATTTAAAATTAATAATATACTATAAAAGTTATTTAAGTTGTATATATTGCAAACAAATATATTAGAACAAGTAGTCATTGTTATATTTAATAAGACTCCTTGCTTTTTCATTAAGAGATTCAATTTTCATTATTATTTTTGTGATTTATGGTCCCTTAAAAAAATTTAAAAAAAAAAAGAAAAAAAAGTGGTTGAACCGGTTTGACCCACCGGTTCACCGGTTGAACCGGAAAATTGACCGGTTCAATCCGGTTTGAAACGGGTCGACTGCATAACCGATCCAACTTCAGATTCGGACCGGCTGGACCACCGGTTCCCGGTCCAACCGGTCCGACCGGCCGGGTCGGTCCGGGTTTTAAAACACTGATTCTAATGATTTAATCAAAGTTTTTTTTTTAAGATTTGAATCCTAAATCCTAAACCCTAAACCTCTGACCTTGCTTAAGCGTGGATCAATCGCTACCGCTGAATCACGTTTGAGGTTATTTAATCAAAATTAATTTAAGTAAGAAAGACTTAATAATACAAAAAAGAAATTGGATTAATTTTTATATTACCAGTATATTGGTCCAATAAAATCTATAAACCAATAATAGTTATTAAAAGGAGTATTCTTTTTGTATAAAGGTGTAGATAAATTAAATTTAATAAATTTGATAATATATTTTTTCAGAAAATTTAAACAGTGAAAGATATAAATTAATTTTGTTTAATTATTTGTTTTCTATGATATTAAAATATTTTCTACTTTATTAATAACACATTTTATATTTTTATGCCGCTGTCTATTATAGAATATATAAAAAAATATCTATATATTTTGTGAAAAATTTGGGAAAATATTAATTTTTTATGCAACAAAAAAAAAACATCGAATAATTTGTCCAATTTAAGAAAATAATCATGTGCTTACCAAAATTACAAAAAAAATTGCAGAAAATGATTTAGAAAAAAAATCTCAAGAAAATTATAAAATTAATATAAAAAAACAAAAACATCCCAAAAAACTATTGTAGATCCAAGTCATATTGTATACGTTTTCTTATACCGAAATGAGAAAACAAATATCATAATAAAATGATTTTAAAAATAAAAAAGTTATAAATTAAAATAATTAAATAATAATGAAAAATGTCTATATATTTTGTGAAAATTTTGGAAAAATATTAATTTTTATACAAAATAAAAATCTATGAATAATTCATCAAAATTATGAAATTAATAATGTGCTTACCAAAATTACAAAAAAAAATTGCAGAAGATGTTTTAGAAAAAAATCGCAAGAAAATCATAAAATTAATTTTAAAAATAACAAAAAGATTCCAAAAAATATTGTAGATCCAAGTCATATTGTATAGCTTTTCTTATACCGAAATGAGAAAACAAGGATCATAATAAAATGAATTTAAAAATTAAAGGTAATAAATTAAAATTTTTAAATAACAATAAAAAATTGTCCGTATATTTTGTGAAAATTTTGGGAAAATATTAATTTTATACAAAACAGTTTATTTTACAAAAATAAAAATCTATGAATAATTCATCAAATTTAAGAAATTAATCATATGTTTTCCAAAATTATAAAAAGAACGCTGAAAATGTTTTAGAAAAAAATTGCAATAAAATTACAAAATTAATAAACACACACACAAAAAAAGATCCCCGAGAAAAATTGTAGATCCAAGTCATATTGTATAAGTTTTCTTATACTAAAATGAGAAAACAAAATTCATAAATAAGATGAATTTAAAAATAAAAAATAAATAAATTTATATTATGATAATTGTCTATCGATTAATGTAATACATAATGTATAGTGCTATTAAATTTATACTTATTAGAGAGATCGAGACATTTCGTGCCTCTAATAGTCACATACAAATAAATATTATAAATAAATATTATAGACTAGAGGGGTCGAGACACTTCGTGTCTCTATTAAAAATAAAATAAAAATAAAAATAAATTTTAAATAATAAAAATATATTGATCTAATTGGTATTATGGTTAATCTATTAGTTTCAAGTTCTTAAATTTGATAAAAAAATATTTTTTCTAATTTTTTTATAATAGAAGGGTATAATGGTTCAAAAAAATATGGAACCAA